GCTATTTATCAAAACCGCCTAGCACTGGACTACTTACTAGCTGAGGAAGGTGGCGTCTGTGGCAAATTTAAACAGTTGGACTGTCGTCTACAGATTGACGACACTGGCAAAGCCGTCTCCGCTATCGCCACGAATATTAAAAAACTTGCCCATGTCCCAGTTCAAAAATGGTCAGGATGGGACCCCGAGAGCCTGGTTGGAGGATGGTTCTCCACCCTCGGGGGATTTTAAGTGTTAATTGGAATCGTCCTCCTGCTCCTTGGGGCTTGCCTTCTTTTACCCTGCATTCTCCCCCTTGTCATTCTCTCCACCTCTCCCCTCGTAGAGACCATTGTAGAACGTAAGACTGCCACTCTTGTTATGAAAGTACCAACCCCTAGGCCAGCAGCCTGTCGAAGGAGATGATGCTCTCTAACCCACCTGTGGGTTCGAGCATCAAAGGGGGGAATGTGGCAGTGGGCCCTACACAAAGGCCTTCCCGGACCATGTGGTCACTAAGGATTTCGCGCGGGCTTCGGACAAAGACATTCCTGGACTGTATGGTCAGCAAGACTTCCGCGTTTAGTATTTCCAAATTCCTACCTCACTCAGGAGCCAGTGAGAAACTGACACAAAGGCCACATGTTCTAATAATAAATCTTAGCTGCCAACCTGGAAACTTCAGGGTATATAGTCCCGAGTCCCACCCAGGTCGGGGCTCGGCCTCTGGATACAAATCCACTAAGCCGGCGCCAACATTAATAAAGATTGCCCCCCAAGCCTTGGTGTCCTGTCTCTCTGTCTGGATTCCCCACAACAAGCCCACTGAACCCTCACTCTGTGGGCCCCACCTGCTCCAATAGGGGTGACAATGGTGACCCTCAAAACAAGGCGGGTCCAGGAGTAATGAATGGTTGGGCAAGGAATGGCATGTCCGGGCCCCCCTCCCCCCGCATGGTGCCCGGGTTGGGGGGACTGGCCTGGGGGCTGGCTGTGCCCAGGCCTTTGCCTTAGAGTGAGACCAAGGCCCACTTAGGGGCGGGAGCGTCTCAGCTGGTAACACCCTTTCCGCAGTCAGGAAGAAGCTCTGTTACCTATTTTGTGGTGTCAAAATTCTAGGAGCCTTGGTAATAACAGTGCTGAGAGGGCGGTCAGGAAAAACCCTAACTTTCCAGCCTTCGTCCCGGGCGGGAAGCCAGAGGCCCCGAGCGCCCTGTGTGTGAGGGGCAGCTGCTTGCAGGCGGCTCGCTGTGCTGTCCTGTGGGCCTGCCGCAGCCCGGGCAGGGGGGGCAGGGACGGGAAGGAGCTGGGGGGGCTCTGCCCTGGGGTGGGGCTCAGGCTCACCCCCACAGATGGGAAATCAGGATGCTCGGGGTTGTTGCCCATGAAGTCTCCTTGGCAGCTTCTCTTCCCTTATAAGAACGTTGCCTTTTTAGATCAGTTTAGGTTCACAGCAAAATTGATCAGAAGGCACAGAGATTTCCCATGCACCCCCTGCCCCCACGCACGCACAGCCCCTCCCACCATTAAGACAGTTTAGTTAGTATAAGGTCAGGTGGTCAGGAATTCCCTGGTAGGCTGAGCAAAAGAACAAGCACTGGCCGTTTTTTTTCAATGTTATGCGATAACACCCCCTTATTGGAACAGAGATATCAATCATACCCCGGGCAACAAAGCCATTTTGAAGGACATTACAGGAGGCCTTCCCAAGGCTGAGCAACAGAACAATCTGATAAACACCTTAACAGCAGGCACCTGTATTCCAGCATTCCCCGTCCCAGGCAGAAAGAAAAGAGGAAACCCAAGCCTTTTACCCTAGCTAGTGGGCATCCCAGTTCCGGGTACCCCCTCCTGCTCGGGAGCTGTAAGCTTTCTCTTGCTTTAATAAAACTCTCCTCTGCTACAAACTCGACCTCTCTGGTCCGTCTCCATTCTTCAGCTTCAGGAGACTACGACCTGGCACAAGAAGTATCCTACATCAGCATCCCACCAGGTGGGGCATCTGTTATGTTGACCAAAACATTCAACCCAAGAGAAAATTTATAAGAGTTTATGTGAGCCAAACTCGACAATTGCCAGAAAGCAAAATCTCAACGGATTGAGAAAATGTTCCGCAAAATGGCGGTTTGCAGCTTCTTTT